GATCTTGTATATTCAGTTTCACAGTCCAGAACTAACAGAAAAACAGAAACATATTTAGTAGAAATATGTACACGTGAAAAATATCAATATTATTTCTTGGTTTTTCTCTTAAATAAAAAATGGACTGGGGTGTAACAGCGACTTGCTTTGTTATGAAGGCCAAAGTGATGCTCAAGGAGAACAAAAGAAGAAGACTCTAAAGACCACTGATCTGTTATTAATCTCTCACAGGTCAGAGTTGTTTCTTACAGGATCCAGCAGATGGCGCTAATCCTCCAGAACCCCAGTAAAAAAGCATCTGTACATGTTTGTTGTGTTTGGTTTTTGATATGATCACATGATGGCACCACGAGGCTGAAAGCTTAAACTTCAGCTCAGTGTGATCTCTGGAGAGATTTCAACTGCGTCACTTTTGTTTTTATAACGTAAAGAAATCAGATGTCTGAAAAGTCACTGAGGAAGGTTTTAATGACATCTGTAAGTATTAAATTAAAGAAAAACAATTAACTTAAACTTTTGATTAAGACCATCTGACACATTTAAATACTTTCACTCCCATTATAGTTAGTACCTGTAAAGTTTGGGTTATGTTCAAAAGACTTTAAATCATCCTAATGTGTGTTTTAAAGAAAAGCTCTAGTTGAATTTTAGAACTATTTGCTAACAACACAATGAAAGAAGTAAAGGTGAATGATTGCAACAAACGAGGGAGAGTTTTTTTCCCTACATTTTCCACTTTTACATAACACAAAAACCAAATATTATTAGTACTAAGTAATAAACACTGTTTCTTGTTACTACTTTACAACTACATTCAAAATAAATATTAGGAAACTGTAAAAATTAAACAAGCTACCACGTATTCTTATACTTTGGAATATTTCCAGTACTTGCAAACACTTTGCAACCTGTTCTCTAACGTGTGTCTTCTCTCTTGTTTTGTATATTTTTCTCTATTCAATTATTTATTCCTGCTGTCTACATTTATATTTTATTTCAGTACAGTTGGTGCGGGGAACCCACAATTTCATTGTACATGCACAACGACACTAAAGGGATATTTTATTCCATTCTGTATCTAAGCTGAAGAAGATGGAAATAAAAGAACCCAAAAGAGTCAAAGAAGAAATTAACTTATATACTGAACAAAAGGAAGTAGCGGTTTTTGATACGGGCGACACGGGCGGTTGCCGGGGCACCCTCCGTTTGCGAGGTGCGCCTGCTGCTTGCGGCGCAGAGAGGACAGGGCGGGGCGGCGGGGGATTCTCTGACCGGCTGGAGCAACATCTAATAACCAACTCGCAAAATAAAACAAAATAAAAACAAACCAACAAACATGAAAACACCAGACATTATGATACAGACTTATAATTTGCACCGATGTTTTTTGGAAATTCTATACACGAAAAGTGAGCGTGAGAGCCCTCGATGCGCCTGCTCGCTGCTGAAGTCAAAGTAAACTTTATTGTCATCTCCGCTACATACAGTCCAGTATATAGAGAGACGAGATGACGAGGCGACGAGGCTCCAGTTACAGCAGTGCAAGTAAACAAACAATATATATAAGAAGAGTAAGAAAATAAATATACACTTTGGGAATAGGGATAAAGGGATCAATAACAATTTAAAATGTACAGTTTGATGATTTAAAGTCTCACACACAACCCGTCGAAAGGGGAGGGAGACCTACTGCTTCCAAATAGAGCACATTTCATTCATAATGTTGTAAATCTAAGCCCATTATGTATTCATGATTTGAATCCTGGGCTTTGTGAAATCCCAGAAATAAACCTTAGACAAAGTGAATATGTGAACTAAGGTATAGGTCTATTAGGTTATGTTGTGGCGATCCTCGAGTTGGTGGATTTGTGTTCATACTGGAGGGCAAAATTAAAACCAATGGAAGATGGACAAGAAAAGTTCAAAGCCATCAGGTGCTCAGTTTAGAAAAAAGAGAGGAGGAGAAGAAACGAGCAAAAGATGCAGGTAAGCAGATGTGTCATTGGATAACGGCAGGTCATGTATCCTGATTCAATCAGAATCAGAATACTTTATTTGTCATGGTCCAGA